AGAGGGAGGGAGGGAGGGGAGGGGAGGGGAGGGGAGGGGAGGGGAGGAGAGGGAGAGGGGGAGGGGAGGGGAGGGGAGGGGAGGGGAGGGAGATGTATACTGTGCATACATATAACCACCCACAAGGGCTCCCCCCTACCTTTCAGAACAAGTCAACTTGATGTGACTGCTCACATGTTGGGGTCTTGATGGACGCTGCTCGAGCAGAAATCAACGAAACTAGCCATTGGCGGTTTCGCTTGACACATGTTTCTTGAACACGGCTATGCCCAAAAACTGACCGTGTAACTATCCACACCAGTCTGAATGTCTTGCTGTGGTTGTTGTCCCTGTGCAACTTCCCTTGTTTGTTCCCTTGCATCACACAGGAAGACAAGTTCGTCCAGGAAATGTGGGTTGGACTTGCAATAGGAAGGCTTTGTCAGCAAGCAAACAGCCCTCAAGATACAGCTTAGCAACGAAATGGTACTGAGGCACTGCAAGTCCATCTCACAAGTAAAACTGCAGTCCATGTACTTTAGCGCTGGTCCATTAACAGGATGGGCTCATAGTGAAGTGGAGCATGTATACAAAGATCAAAACGGTCTCAATCTCACCCTTAGCCAACCCCAAATGAGGCCTAAAGCCTTCGCTAAGCACCCTAAACAGCCTCAAGCAAGTTTGATCCCACCCAACAGATGCGAACCACCCCCCTCTCAACAATTCCAGGGGGCTGGAGCGCAACGCCGTTACCATGATCTTCAAAGTTAGGCAGGGGGGCATTGCTAACGCTGAACCATACAAACTCATGTACAGAATTCGATAGCCCTCCAATCGCTAACATGCAACCCGAAAGCCTTTGTTGTTAGAAGAATGTTCTTCCTGTTGGAGTAGGCAAATTATGCCAATCATGCAAGCACTTTGTAGGTATGCTGCGACAATGTGGACTTTGCACGATTGCATCTTATCGAAGAACTAAATTAGCTGCTGATACACCCAAAAAGAACATCAAACAAATTGCATTGCCAACTGCGGCTGAAAGAACACACAAGTAGCTTGCACAAAAGAACAGAAGGTTTTTTTCCCCTTTTTTTTCCAGTAGCGAGGGCTTCAACTTTATCGACACAAACGCACGCCACCCAGCACAAGAGTTGTGCCTTATCAGGGGCGCCCTCACAACCCAAGACTCCAACATCAAGCACTTGATTGCTACTGAGCACAACGGAGGATTCCACAATCAAGAAGCCTGCCTTGGGCAAGCAAATATCTCCAGATTCTGTCCAAGGTAGTTTAAAGCTTCTGGCAAAAACACACACACACACACACACACACATACACACACACACACAAACACACACACACACACACACACACACACACACACACACACACACACACACACACACACACACACACACACACACACACACACACACACACACATTTTCAGCCCAACACATAGACTTTATTCATAAGGAAGTTTCTCAACATGGTTCACCCTTCTGGATGGTACCCGTTTGTGTGGCCCCATTCGTTTGTGAGGTCGCTTCTTTAGGCTGCCGAACCGATCGGCCTGGAAAGTCGACTGGAGCACGTAGAGCGGAGCCAACTGAGCAAATGGGTTGGATTATTGTTTTGTTGTGCTTTATTATCTGTTTGTTTTCCTTTCTTATTCTTTTTTTCGGGGGGGCGGGGGGGCCAAAGAAAAGTGTCGGGGTGTCTGTGTGGCTGATGCTGCATTGCATCAGAACCTCCGCTTGTCCCCTCCACATATTGAAATTTGCACTGTCCACGTCTGCATGTCTTTGTGTGCAAAGGTGTGGTACATGCTGCCCGTCAACTGCGCACTGAACCAAATGATTCGCTACTGTTTCAAATGAATCCTCACCCAACGCAAATCAAGCCTAGCACCACTCGACAATCTATAATCCTGAATCCACATGTTCGAGAGCCAACCCAGAATCCCCAAACCAACCCCCTAAACTCAACCCAAAGCAACCTGAACCAACCGGAGCTATTGCAGGAAAAACCGTCCGAGCATAGCGAACATTTCCGGATTTCGCAAGCCCCATCGCTGCACAGAAAGGCAAGGCACTCATGTTTTTGGAGTCGGTTTGTTTCTCGAGGAAGCCCTAAATGAGTGGATTGCTTTTGGTGTCCCTTCAAAACAAGCCAAAAAGGTGTTTTCAAAAGGACACCCGGATGTGGCCGCCTGCAATGCGAAGCCCCCGGCCTTCTCAGATTCCAGCTTTCCCTTGGCCTGGCAGTGACCAAGCTACCGGCTGTTTTGCTGGTGCACACCCACAAAGCCACTGCAGGAAAGAACATGGTTAGAGAATCGCTCGTGTGCCAAAGCGGGCAATCCGACGACTGTGTGACTTGAAAGGCGGATTCCTGGCGCCGCAGAAATCTGCCCTATGCCCCGTTCCCCACAGCCACCAAGAAAGAATGCCAGTAGCTTCCATCCGTCTTCTAGAAGCCCCCCCATCCCCAGCTAGGGCCCCATGGCGGGCCCTTCTGTTAGTGGCTTGCGGGGTTCACTCTCAAAGGCGAATCAAAAGTGTTTCCCCCCCCCCACACAAAACAAAAAAGTGGAGGCGAAGGCTCGCTTGACTTCAAGAAAGGTGTCGCTTCTTCCAAGGGCGCAGGGTCACGTTTTTTCAGAGATCATCGTACTAATATGGCTAATATACTGCCAGATATATGGCTCTCTTTTCATAAGGATGGCCCCTGTTGCGCGTGTTTCAATCTCGGAAACCCCGGCTTCTGGCCCTGGGTCCGGCCCAGGCCTCAAGGTCCTTCAGCTTCTCCTGCAGCTGCCCGAGGTTGGGAAAGGCGACTTCCGTAGGGGTCTGGCTGCCTCACTCGAGAGGCGAGCGAGCAGCTCTCACTCGAGCCTCGAGCTCCGCGGCCAGGGCCATGAACGTGAATCGGGAACCAGCTCGGTTGGTGGACATGAATTGTCCGGTGTCCACCAAAGGGTTCCCAGCCACGCCCAAGTGCTGTGCCCGCAAAAGCTCGACAAGTGGAGGGGTGCCATCTCGCGAACCGATCGGCGCCGGAATTGAGTGATTCCTTAAGCTCCCAAAAACCCGAACGCACTGACCGCTTGAGTCTCCTGACATTAAAACCAGCAGTGGAATACTAGAAAAAACACACCTGAAGCAGATGGAAGAAGAAAGGATCAAAATTGATGCATTTGCACTATGAACTTCAGAATTCAAACTTCGAGGGCGGCGTTCTCTCAACCATCAAAAGGGAGCAACTTCCACACGAAACCGGGTATGTGTCAAAATAGAGCTTCGGACGGATACCCTTCAAGCCAGCTAGAATTTCTGAAAAGGGCAACATCACGGACAAAAATCGTTAGAATGCGCTTTTGGGATGAGCGACAAGTGTGTCAGAGTCATAGCCATTTCGGAAGATCTTGATGAATCATGTCAGCAATTCTTCAGCCCCTTGTATTACCCTCAGACACAGAGAGAGAGAGAGAGAGAGAGAGAGAGAGAGAGACAGAGAGAGACAGAGAGAGTGAGAGAGAGAGAGAGAGAGAGAGTGAGAGAGAGAGAGACAGAGAGAGTGAGAGAGAGAGAGAGAGAGTGAGAGAGAGAGAGAGAGAGAGTGAGAGAGAGAGACAGAGAGAGTGAGAGAGAGAGAGAGAGTGAGAGTGAGAGAGAGTGAGAGAGAGAGAGAGAGAGAGAGACAGAGAGAGTGAGAGATAGAGAGAGAGCGAGAGAGAGAGAAAGAGACACGACGACGAGTCCGGGGCCGCAGCCCGGTGAATCCCCGTCGGAGAAGGCTGCTCTCTGAAACATGGGCGCATCCGGAGTGCGGCAGCCGGTGAGGTACCTCAGGCCCGGGCCGATCGCCGCCCGGTCAGCAACCGTGGAAATGGAATCGAGTTTCTGAACATGGAAACAAGGGACACCCGAGTTTGGTTGGGATAACCTCATGGAATCACCCGACCGAAGAAGGCTCTTCCTTTCAGGTTTCTCAAGAGTGGACTTCGGAAATTCCCCGAGTTTGACCTGAAACAAAGGACACCGTTGCCATGTCTACTTTGAAACAACCATGGGTGTGTCTTTTGTTGAGGCTCGGTACCCTTTTGGGGTCGGTTTGAAGCAAAAGCCAGAGGAAAGCACCCACGGGACGGTACCACTCGTTTGAGACAAATCCATGTGACCCCTACCCGTTGCCGAGCCAAGCAATCCCAAAGCGTGGCTTCCCCAATCCGAGAAGTGGAAAACATGTATGTACCCTGGTGTTCAAACCACAATTAAAGCAATGGGGATTCATATAACCACCACTGTTTACCTCTGGCTGTCATAATCCAAATTGAGTCAACCATTCTTTTAATGGGGGTCGAACGCCAGGGTGCATGTTCCTTTTGCTTGTTTGGTCAATTTCCATTCACAAAAAGCAGTCAGAAAGCCATCAAAGCGGACGGCGCGCCGTGGCGACGCGAGAACCCCTGCAGCCGAGCGGCATGGGTCCAGCGTATGCCATGCTGAGGGCGGGTTGGCCAAAAGCACCTGACTGATCCTTGAGCAAAAAAAAGGCTGCGCCCCAGCGCCCGGTTTGAGCGTTCGGTACAAGTGGACACGTGGTCAACACCCGGTGGGTCAAGGGCAGCCCGAAAATGCAGCCATTTTTCAGCGCGTGCAAATGGAAACCCACTGCAATGAAGCAATTGGGCATGCCGAAAGGGTATGAGAAGCCAGCCGGCAAACCGTATGCTTGATTGTGGCTGGCATGCAAAGGATGAATCTACAAACCATGACAGCTGCCGAATACGAGGTCTATGCGAAGGGTGTGTTTCACTTTGATTTGTAGACTTTCGGGAGCCATTGGCATGCACTTGGACTCCCTCCCAACGCTGTTGACCCCTCTGCAAAAGTTTAACTCTTTCTGAGTCCAATGGCAAATCCAAGTCCAAAGATCCAACCAAATAGCCATAAAGCAACCTCATGCTATGGGTATGTCTCTTTTTTTTGAGACGACACACACTCCAGAGCCCCTGC